CCCTTAGTCCCCCTAGCCCACTCTCAAAAAAGGTACTATAGATATAACATATGTCGACTGAATTCTATATATCTTATGTATGTATACATAGTACCCTTTTTTATAAGGAACAGGAGGCAAGGAAGCAAAGAATTCTTGAATTCTGAATTCAAAGAATTTCTTTGTCCCCTTAGTACCTCTGCCTTGGTAAAAATTGGGTACTATTTTTTTTTTCAAAATTCAATTTTAAATAAAAAAACCCATAAACTCTAAAAAAGACTATTGTATTTAATCTCGTTTTTTGCATAAACAATTTAATACATAAAATTACCTCGTGAGTACAAAAATATTTTTACTTTCTTTACATTCTCTCATTAAAATGGGTAGTTGGAAACTGAGTTGTGATATTTTCTAATTACATACTGTCTGCATTTACGATTTATGCAAGATTGGAGTTATTTAAATAGATATTATGCTCAATAAAATAGGAAGATCTTATTTATGACAGTAATAGAAACCAGAAGCATGACATTCTTAACATGAATTCTAATGCTAAGAAAAATAAACAGAAAAAATAATAAAATGCTTATTTATTATGAAAACCATTTGGAGAAGGCAATTCATATAGCTTTCGAACATGCGATAATTGGAAATGACTATACATATATCCTAAATGATATTAAGCATATATTGTTCGTCATATATTATTAAGACCTCGAGACCACAAACTAAAATTTTTTTTTTATTAATTATAAGAGTTCAACAAAAGCATTAAAAAATAATTATTTGAAGGTAGTAATAACGTGAAAGAAATAACATAAAAATATAAAATTCAATATTTATAATGTGAAAATATGATTTTCTTGCATGATGTATTGAGTTGTCCTATAAAAATGATTTTGAATTCTGTTTTTGATCTGGTTTTTTATTTTTCTTCATAAAATCTTTCTTTATATTCTCTCAATCTATATTTTTTAGAGTGTCTCGTTCTATATCTATGAATTTCTTTTTCATCATCTTAGGCCTTCCAAACTCAGTTCAATTCACATATTAACTGGAGCATATACATTGTAGAAAACATGATCTTTCTTTCTTTCAGCAGACTTTTCTATTGTGTAAATGATTTTTTCTCTTTATATAATTGAATTCTTAGAAATGAACAGACGAGAAATCTGTATGAGTTAAAGTCCAATAGAAGTATCTGCTATATTACGACTGCCAGAGGTTTTCTATTAAACGAATTTATAGAATTTCTACCATAGTCAGAATACAGTGTTACAGAATGAGGGATTTAGAAGATTTATGATTGGTTTACTTTAGGCTCTCCTTGAACTTAATTAAAGTATAATTAATTGATAAAGGCTTTATCGTCTCACATTGTTGGGAATCTCAATATAGTTCCGTTGTGAAATACCAAGCTAATGTGCGCAATAGATGATATTTCTTTTCTGCATGAATGTTTGCTTTAATCATTCACCAGGACTATTTCTACTGTTTTAGTTTTCTAATAATCTACTATAATAAAATAAAATTTGTGAAAATTCTATTTTGATTTCGATCTCTAGTAGTGTGCTATAGTTATTCCCAGAAAATCTTGTAGTTAGATTGATGTATATTTTGCTTTGTTTCTGTATTCGAATAGATCGAAGCGAATACAAAAACAATAGGTAATATTCTCATTTAACAGCTGATTTATGTGTGGGAAATTTAAAAGAAGCTGGTGATGGATTGCAATTTATATAGATGATTGAGCTATCAATCAGTAGTATGAACTGTTCTCTTGTTACTAGGAGTACAGTGATCATATCTAGAAATTGGACTGTATATTCACTCTGTCAGTAGACAGGTAAATGTAGTTTGTACACTGTAAAGGTAATATCTAAATACTGTATTTACTTTTTACAAGCGAATACCGGCATTCAGCATTTACCAGCTAAGTAGTATAAGTGATCATCATTCTCTCAGATTGACTTAGTGTCATAAAATACAATGACTTTTTATCATTTACTTTTACTTATATAGTCCCCTACCAATATATGTTTGTTGTAAGAATTGAGTGAGTCTTTTGATACACGACTGGATTTTGCATTTCCTTGATAAAATCTGATGCTCTCAATATATAGCTATCGTTTAACTACTTTTTACGCAAGCGTACCGTCAATAAATCATATTGTTTTGTCTATTGAGGCCTCATTCTATAAGACTTCGAGTTGAGATTAGAAGGATTACTTTATTTTTATTTTTGTTTGTGATAAAGCATAAATATAAATACAATTTTTATCGTTATTAAATAAGAACAAAGAAATACCTTATATTTAAAAAATAAAAATGAATAAAGAAAATAAATCTTTATCATTTTGAAAACAAAGATAAAAGAACGAAAAAAGAACGGCTTTTTCTATCATAGTTAAATAGGTATATATATTAATCTCACAGTAGGATATGTAAATCAATGTCTTTTCGTATCATCTCCGCATTACTGCATGCGAGATTATTAAAAAAAATATGTGCAAAACGCTTTTCTGAATAATTAATTTTCATTTATGGTATCATAACCTTTTTCGAAACTGTTTAGTACACTTCAAGACTAGATTATTATAGAAAGAGAGTTTCTGTATTATTCCTCCTATCTTTACTTTGTGAACAAAAAGATTTTCGTTATATTTATGTTATAAATATAAGCACTGTATCTATATTTTTTGATATAATAAAGACAAAAGTATTACTCCCGTAGCTGGAATCGCGATTAAATTCGCATTCACCTACTCGAGTTCTACTATGAATCCAAATTCAGGCACAGCCAAGAAAATGATGAACCCCAGCTTAAGATTCAGTTTTAGTTTGTTGTGAACTTTCTATTCACTTCACTGTAATCAAAAAGTAAATACAGTATTTACATTTTTTGCAGGTGAATACAGTACTTACTTTTAATAGGAAAGTAAAGCATTTACTTTCACAAAAAGTAAACTAAACGTGTCACACCTATTCATATTTCAACTTCAATTAATTGATCCGAAAAAAACAAAATTTAATTTCACTCTTAGGAAACCCTAATCGCAGCAAAATAATGCAGGAAGTTGACGATATAGAAAAGTTCACTTAAAACGTGTCGAGCTAGAAGAAATACCCGCGGATACCTAGAAGGTTCCTGTTAGAAAAGCAATAGTGATCTACTAGAAACGCAAGAATCCTTCCAGTTATAGCAATGTATTGTGTGAATAGGGAAAACTTCACGAAAAGTCCGTTGAATTAGGAGAAAAGTCTGCCGAAATACAGAAAAATCCCGTCATGAATTGGAATGATAATGTGTAGGAAATAGAAAAGTCCTTCTATTTATGGAACATTGGTGCATAAATATAGAAAAGTTCGCTAAAAGTCCGTAGAGTAAGAAGAAATGTTCGCTGAGAAATGGGTTTATTGAAGGTAATAGGGAAATTTCACGCTCTTTCGCTTGACCAGTAAAGTCCTCCTGCTCATTAGTGAACTTTAGGTAAAGTGGACATTTTTCGGATCTTTGCCAGCCCTCGTTTTCCATGATAATTAACAGGGTTTCGACACTTTTTCTGAATCTTCAGAAATCCTTGGCAATTTCTGAGCAACTCTCAGAAACCATACTCGATTTCTAGCAAACCCTTTCACCGTTTTCGATACTGACAAATCCAAAAAGGTTTCCGATAAAAATAGCCGTCAATCCAAAGATATTCGAGGATGTCAATGGGATTTCCGTGAAGGCTTTCAAATCAGAATCAGTTTTTGAGGAAACTCTCTGGTTTTCGCGACGAGAGTCAAGGTTTCTGAAGACACGGTTGAGGATTTTCCAATTCGACCTGTTGAGAATCTATTGGTTTCCGAAGCCAAGGAACTCTATACGAGATTTTCAGAAGCTTGATATGGGTCCGGAAACCTTTTCGGATACGCTCATAGGTTTCCGAAACAACATTAGTCAAGAAAGTCTTACTTCGAGGGAAAATATCACCTTACGATCAATTCTTTTCATGGAAATCATTGACCAATCCTAGTTCCTTCTAGAAAAATTAATTGCATACCTCGTTTCAAATTAACCGAAACCCAAAGACCAGTTCTGATTGACAGACTTGGTATGGAACTATGACATATGTATCTAGTACCGATCGTTTCATAGACTTTCTTCTTAAATAACCAAGAAGTTTCCCCAAGAGCATTGTGATTTTTGGATTGTGATGGATGAGAGCTTTGGCTGCTTTTTAGATAAATAATCACTTGACTTTATGAACGCGTATAAAGCACGTCCTCTATTATTCATTTGCGCCATTCTACTTGTATTTTTCGTCATCTTCATGCGACCGTGGAATATAACGTTGAAGCGCAGTCTACTGGCTATAAAAATGAGTAACAACGCTTCTTGTGTGAAAACCTCTAACAAAATGTTAAATCTTACTGCTAATGTTTTCAATCGTTTACCAAATGCCTTAGTTGTAGACAAAAATAAAATTTTTCAAGAATGTCGAAGTTTTAGTCAAGCGTCTCGATTACTGGGTCCTTTATTAAGAAACACCCATAATGGACAACTCTATTTTCCAACAGCTGATGCAAGTTTACAAGACATCCATCTGATTATGCGTTATTCACCTCGTGCGGAAGCAGAGGGAGGACTACACTTATCAGTAGCAACTTCATATTTGATATCGAAGAATTTGCAGCGTTTGTCTCAGAACCAGAGAAACAGAACTCGAATTACTGTGTTTCTGAGTGAACAATTTGACGCATCCACTTATTCACGATTAGATGCCTGGTTTCGTTGCGTATACGAACCCTACACCAAGTCTACAGTGATTATACGTGCGCCAGCTGGTAATCAAAAGAGCTGGGAATTCTCAATGGATTACGTAAAACGACATTCATTGATTGAACTCGATACAATAGTATTCCAATTGGAAAACGATTATATCTGCGAATCTGATATGTTAGAAGATACCATTGAGTTCTTTGCCAGTCACAACCCCTGCTTTGTTCACCCGACAGATTATCCTGATCGATATACAATGACGATTAATGATGATGACAAACATATCACAGTCGTTGCCGGACGCACAAGAATTTGGCGCTCCATTACGTCATCTACGGTGAGCTATGCATGCCGATTGCGAACACTTCTTGCATTTGCTGATGTTTTATTTCAACCCCGAAATGACTGGCTTAATAGCAAACTGATTCGAAATTTGGGAGGTCATGCTACAATATTTTCTGCTATTCCTTCTCACTGCGCTCATATTGAGACGGTTGTTCGCAATGATGCTCCATTACGAAATATGGGTGTGGGTCCCTTTTACAAAGATTGGTGGGCAATGGGACGGCAAGCACTTCTCGAAGCGCAAGCTTATCCATCCTACCCTATCATATAGATGTGAACTATGTTTCCATAATAAAAAGCCTTAGTTTTGTTAATTGCATTTCTCTCGATACTTTCTATTGCCTTACTCAGAGGATCTAAAAATTACTGAAACTTTATAATTTCTAATCAGAAGCTACCGTTCTACTTAGCCCTTTGTAGCAATGTCCCGATGTACGTTGAGATGAGGGTATAGCTGCCGGGTATGAGGTCGGCGGGGGGGGGGGGGGGGGGGGTTGGAGGAGGGGGGAGGGGAGGGGGTGGATGTGGCGGGGGGGTTGTTTAGTATCAGGAGGTCGATGTGATTAGTGTCATACTGAGGGAGTGAAA